ACCTTCAAGTCAGCAGCACTGCTATGGGTACCCGCATGGCCCTACAGTATGCCAACATTTTTATGGCTGACTTAGAATGCTTCCTCAGCTCTTGTCCCCTAACTCCCCTACTCTACATGTGCTACATTGGTGACATCTTCATCATCTGGACCCATGGAAAAGAAGGCCTTGAGGAATTCCACCATGATTTCAACAATTTCCATCCCACCATCAACCTCAGCCTGGACCAGTCCATACAAGAGATCCACTTCCTGGACACTACAGTGCTAATAAGCGATGGTCACATAAACACCACCCTATAACGGAAACCTACTGACTGCTATACTTACCTACATGCCTCCAGCTTTCATCCAGACAACATCACACAATCCATTGTCTACAGCCAAGCTCTAAGATACAACCACATTTGCTCCAATCCCTCAGACAGAGACAAACAGCTACAAGATCTCTATCAAGCATTCTTAAAACTACAATACCCACCTGCTGAAGTGAAGAAACAGATTGACAGAGCCAGAAGAATACCCAGAAGTCACCTACTCCAGGAGACAGGCCCAACAAAGAAAGTAACAGAACGCCACTAGCTGTCACCTTCAGCCCCCAATTAAAACCTCTCCAATGCATCATCAGGGACCTACAACCTATCCTGAAGGACGATCCCTCACTCTCACAGATCTTGGGAGACAGGCCCTCACTTACAGACAGCCCCCCAATCTGAAGCAAATACTCACCAGCAACCACACACCACTCAACAGAACCACTAACCCAGGAACCTATCCTTGCAACAAAGCCCTTTTCCAACTGTGTCCACATATCTATTCAAGGGACACTATCATAGGGCCAAATCACATGTGCTGTGGCTGAAGCTCGTTTACCTGAACATCTACCAATGTAATCTATGCCATTATGTTCCAGTAATGCCCCTCTGCCATGTACATTGGTCAAACCGGACAGTCTCTACGCAAAAGAATAAATGGACACAAATCAGACGTCAAGAATTATAACATTCAAAAACCAGTCGGAGAACACTTCAACCTCTCTGGTCACTTAAGTAACAGACTTAAAGGTGGCAATTTTGCAACAGAAAAGCTTCAAAAACAGGCTCCAACGAGAAACTGCAGAACTGGCATTAATTTGCAAACTGGACACAATTAAATTAGGCTTGAATAAAGACTGGGAGTGGATGGGTCATTACACAAACTAAAAACTATTTCCCCATGCTATTTTTTTCCCTACAGTTACTCACACCTTCTTGGCAACTGTTTGAAATGGGCCATCCTGATTATCACTGCAGAAGTTTTTTTCTCCTGCTGATAATAGCCCACCTTAATTGATCAGTCTCATTGGCGTTGGTATGGCAACACCCATTTTTTCTTTGTATATATATATACCTTCCTACTGTATTTTCCACTGCATGCATCTGATGAAGTGAGCTTTAGACCACGAAAGCTTATGCCCAAATAAATTTGTTAAATCTCTAAGGTGCCACAAGTACTCCTCGTTCTTTTTGCTGATACAGACTAACACGGCTACCACTCTGAATGCTATGACAGGAACTGTTCGTGGGAGAACAGTGGCAGAGGGAAATGGAATCACCAGAAACATACATAACTTCAAATTGCTGTGTGGCTTAATGTTGTGACATGACATACTGTTTGAAATAAATATTGTAAGCAAGAGACTCCAAGGTGTTGACCTTGATATATCTGGAGCAATGGAACAACTGGACAAAGCAAAGTCATACCTACAGTCTTGCCAGTCAGATGAGGGATTTCAAAACTTTCTGAGGAGTGCACAGAAGTTGGTAGAGGAACTTCACACTGAAGCTATTTTTCCACCCATTCAAGAATAAACAAGAGTCACTGAAGAAGAAGACATTTTGCTTACGAGGCACAGGATAATCCCATAAGAGACCCCAAACAACAATTCAAAGTTGAATTCTTTAACCAGGTGCTAGATTGTGCAATACAGTCAGTTGAAGAATGTTTCATGTAGCTCAAGGAACACAGCAGTATATTTGGGATGTTGTATGATATTCCAAAACTCCTCACTATACCTGAAGAAGACCTACACCAGCAAAGCAGGGCACTAGAGACAGTGTTGACACATGATGACAAGCGCAATATTGATGTGAGTGATTTAGGTGAAGAACTGAAAGCCCTTTCAAGATACATTTCAGCAGGATCAACTCCAAAAGCTGTTCTGGAATATATGTGCACAAATAAGGTGACCACCCTCTTTCCAAATGCTTTTGTTGCTCTGTGCATGCTTCTAACACTTCCTGTAACAGTTGCCAGTGGTGAACGCAGCTTCTCCAAGCTGAACATAATAAAAACACATCTACGCTCCACAATGACACAGGAGAGGCTGGTCAGCCTTGCAACAATCTCAGTAGAGCATGAGCTGGCCCAGAATGTGGATGTTCAGCAGGGAGCAGTTCAAATCTTTGCAACCAAGGCACGGAAAGCACCACTTTGATTATTCAAACAGATAAAAATGCCAGGGTTTACTACGCAGATAAGAAAAGTTACATGTGCGGTTCAGGCGTTTGAAAGTTAAGTGTTACTTAAAATTTTTGAACAAAGCATTTTAAGTTGTTAGTTCTCCTTTATTGGGGTAGGTGGCAGAGCCATACTATGAGAGGAGTAGAACAGGAAGAAGGCAGAATTGAGACTTTTCAAAGTTTGGCCCAAGTGAGGGGGCATGGGGCGTCATTTGAGCTCCCCGCCTCAGGTGCCAAAATGTTGTGGGCCGACTCCGAGATCTCACAAACACACCTCTACCAAGCAGCACTAATTGCCTCCACCATTCAGTACACCTGACGCTGACCACAGTGCATGAGGAAAATAAATTCTTAGACTCCTCTCATATCCCAGCTTGTTACTGACAATGCCCTCTGTAATAAAACTCCTGCCCTGCTAATTATATAATGTACACAATTCTGTATTGAAATTATGCATACTAGAACCAGAAGGTACATGTGGAGCTTTTCCCATTGCTCATATATATCAGAGGGTGCAAGCACAGATCCCCTTATCACATAATCACAGCCAGGAAAACAGAAGGAATGTAGCATAGGCAACCTTTTTTATTTGTTTCTTTTTTGTCCTTTTAGTTTGAATGTTGTTCAACTCACTGTTCTGCAAGAGAACAACATACTATCGAACAATCTTAACCCTAGGTTAAATTTGGTTTTTCCCATTGAATTTCCTAGGTTTTTTTGGTTTTATCTTAAAACAGGAAAAAGTTTTGTTGTTGTCATTAGGCGTCAGTAGTCATTTAGGCAGTTGTACATATGTCCCACAATTAGTATTCTGAGCCAACCTCCCCCCAGACACACACCAGCTGTGCCCCACCAGCCTTGCTTTGGAGCATCTCCAAGCCATGCCACTTACCATTCAAAGCATCCCCCCCTCCAACTTGCCACCTCCCCACAATGGTACCTAGACCTCCCCACAACAACTAGGGAACATGTCTCCCTGAAGTTTTCACTCCCTGGTATACAAACATTTATATTGCCTTTATTTCCCTCCTTCTATAACCAGACACATATCCAGAGCCCAGAGTGAAAAACAACTATGTTACAGTAGAGGGTGCGCTGGCAGAGCTGGGGGTGCAGGAAGGTTGGAGTGTGGGTTGGGTGTACTGGCAGAGATGTGGGGTGCTATGCCTCCCACACTTGACTCCCCAACTTCTCTTGCCATCCATCCCCATTAATCTCCAAACCCCTCTTTCCCTGTTCTCCCACTCCTAATACGTACCTTTGTCTCACATGTCTACTTTTCCCCCCAGAGGATTTGATTACATTTCCTCCTCTCCCCCCCACAAAAAAAATTGCCACTCATGACTGCAGTTACTTAGTCCAAAATTGTAGCAGCCTCCAGTTACTTAGTCCAAAACTCCTTTTTTCTTGGGTGGGCAGAGAGTTTGTGATCAACTCATCCTTAGATATGTTAATTGAAGGAAGAATTCACAGCAGTCAAGAGGTCTGTGGTTCAGCCAGTCATTAGTACCTTTCAGTTTAATAGTACAAGACAGCCGAAGGAAACCAGGTTTTGGGAGTTTTTTGAGGGGGCCTGTAATTTGGGAACCCATCAGCAAAATGACCACAAATTTGAATCACTAATGTGCACCAATTTCAAAGCAATCCAATTAACTGTTCAGATTTGAGAGCACTTACAAAAGTTAAATTTTATAGCATATTAAATGGTGGTCATGGAAACCCTCTAGCTGATTTTTCCATATTGGTGCACACACAGTGTAAAAAAGTACATTTTCTTAAATATATTCTTATTTTGGGTCCCCCAAAGATTTAGTGAGTACCATGCACTACCTGGGGTAAAATTCAACAGATTGATCAGGGAAAATAAACCCACCCCCTGGAAACTATTTTATCCCTTTTAAGAAAATATTGTCATCCTCAATTCTAATAGAATAGAAGTTTAACAACAAAAGCAAAGCAGCCTAAAGGATAACAGGGCAGTGTGCATGCTGATATACAACACATAGCATTTACTCTACCTAAAGCCATGGAAATATTCCTCTGCTTTTTGTAATATAAAATATAAACAAATGGTAATTGTCATGTCAACACGTTTCTCTTTGTTTGTTGATCAAAGACAATTTGAAATTTAACTAAATGAAACAGCATAATTTCCCAGCCCTTTGAAAATTACTTTAAAAAAAACATCCAACCAGATAGGGCATATTTTATAAATACACATAACGCATAATACACAGGCAGTCAAATCTGTTCTAAACAATGGTAGCTCAATATTATCCAACAGGATTATTTTCCCCTCGATACTATAAACCAATTATTTTGCACCTTGTGTCTCTTATTTTTAGTGTGAGTGTTATATATACAAAACACACACACATACATGATTGCCCAAAAGCAACAGTTTCTTTAAAGCTACTGGTTGGTAGAATAAGAATAAACTTGATGGCATTACATATTATCCTTGTATACTAAATGTGTTGTTTCTTTTGCTTTGTTTCAGGAGCATGGTATTCCGACTGACATGGGTTATGCAGTGGCTCCGCACCACTCCGGGGTCTACCCTGTACATGTTCAGCTTTATGAGGCCTGGAAGAAGGTCTGGGGTATCAAAGTCACAAGCACAGAAGAGTATCCACATTTAAAACCTGCACGGTACAGACGGGGCTTCATCCACAATGGCATCATGGTACATGGCATTTCCATTACTTCATTGCAATACTTCTTTAAGAATGACTAAAAAATCTATTTCACAAATGCACCAAGCTTTACAATGGGCACTGAAATCCTTGAAGATAGTGGATTTGTAAGGATACTAAAACAGTTTTACCAGTGTGCAGCCAGTTTCCAAAAGAAAGAAGAGCAAAGACGGTGTTTTGGGGTGGGTGTTGGTTTTTTTGTTGGGGGGGGTTGTTGGTTTTTTTTGGGTGGGGGAGTTGGTCACTTTCCAATGTGATTATCAGAAATAAAATGTACCAGTAAATAACCAATCCTGGACTATAATTGCATACCTTTGCAATTCATTAAAATGCCCTAGTCCCATATCCAAGGGTCTGACTCACTACAATGCATAAAGGGTCTGGGACCCGCCAAAAGGGAAGAGAAACAAAGGTACAATATGATTCTCCAGTCCACAGGATACTTTGGTTGGGCCAGATTTTGTGTTTAGATATACCTATGCAATTCCCAGAGCACAGGGTCTGAAACTATGCCTGTGAAAGTTTCACAGGCTGCGCATTGCGGTGAGGAGAGAGAAAGCTTTCTACATCTTCCTTTCAGTAGCAGATGCATTAAAAGCCAAGATAACATGTAGGAATCACTTGGCCTATCACTTTAATATGCAGCTGCTCCTAGAATGGAACAAAGCAGCTGATGAACAGCCAGATGCAACACTACACCACAGTTTAGAGCAAAAATGTAGAAGAATCATGTTCAATTGAAACGGTAAAGAGAATTTAGGTAGATAGAAGGTAAATTACACAAGTTGGAATTTGCACAGGACACAGAATGGAAATCTTGACGGGTCAAGTTCTGGCATGGTATACATAGGTAAAGTTCCTGTTGACTTTAACAAAAGCCATGGACATGCATTTAAGAGCACGTATCTAATATTTGTCAAACGTATATATTAATAAATATATTAAATGTATGCTTAAGTGCTTTGCTGAATAGAAACCGTAAATTATTTTGTTTTTTGTTCATTTGGACAGAATACAAAAGAGAGCACAAATGGTAAACTGGCAAAAAACCTAAGTCAAAATTGAGTAATGTCTGTGTAAGTACTGAACAGTATCACAGTTCTTAGTGCTTTTCTTCAGAGGTCTGATGTGCTTGTGATTAAAGAGTTAATGAAATAGCTCTAAGTAGTGGAAATTTTAGGTTTTTGGTGGGTTTTTTTTTCCATCTGCTGGTTTTCAGAATCCTAACAAACAATCTCCTGATTTATGATTGTATGTAGAGCTGACCTCGGGATATACTCATTCAACAGTCCTATCAGCCCCAGTACATATTTCACTAGTGGGGTCTAATTTGATTTTCAGGGCAAAGGAAAGAATAAACTAGTTCTTTTTGGGTCTGTAACCTAGAATACCAATTGTGCGCTATATCTTACCAGCAAGAAGATTAATAGCCTAAGATAGTGAAGATGGCTGAGAAGTGCTATTTGTCTTTTAACAAACTATCCTTGCTAAAAGAATAGAAGCTCTTTTCTTCCTTTTAAAAATCCCTAAGAACAAACCCTGAATTCTTACTTTGTGAAACATATGCAATGGCCTGGACAAAGGCTGTGGAACACACATGTACTGCAGCCTTTCAACTGGCAGCTAGAGATCTCAACATCTGCATAATCGTGCTTATTTACAATAAGACAGCTGCTGGAACAAAAGAATCCATCTGTGAGCATTTCAGAATGCAGACTCGGAAGAAATTTTTGGGGTGGAGCTTGCAGAAATAGGGTCATGACACTATCTTTTTTTTTTTTTTTTTACTTTGTTCTCAGGTACTTCCTCGACAGACCTGTGGCCTTTTCACCCACACAATTTTCTACAAGGAGTATCCTGGGGGCCCTCAAGAATTGGACAAAAGCATCCGAGGAGGTGAACTCTTCCTCACAATCCTCCTGAATCCCGTATGTACCTTGTTTGCTACCCTTTGCTGTGTACCTTTGCTATCAGTATTGGAGGTGAATGGGACAGAATAACCTATATAGTTAATTCAGTTCCGATAAATCAACTACTTTTGCCCAGAGGTGGTGAGCACTTAAAAGGAAATAAGCAAAAACTGTATTGTAAGGAGTAATGTGGATCCCAGGTGATACAAATCAGAGACAAATGTATACATATATTTCCAAACAGTATCTGTTTTCCAACCCCAGTGCTAGGCCTTTGGGAATAAGGGGACACTGAATAGACTAACGGGCAAAGGAAAACAATGGTGATGGAGAAAACTGCATGATCCTGGTTCTCCTTCCTGTTCTTCCTCTCCCCCCGTGCTTTCCCCCACACACAAACACACACTCTCACTCCTTTGGATCCTTGAAAGCTGCACATCTTTCATCTCTGCTCCCACTGCATCCCCCTAATAGGGCAAACTATAGGAACAGGTTCACATGCATAGGATATTCAGATCAAGCTGCTAAAGAACAGACAACCTAATCCTGTGATGCTACCCACAGAAACCCCCACTCCACGCAGCATATAACTTGCTCTTTGTGGGGAGTTTTGCATGAACACATGTAGAAGGGGAAAGAAGAGAGGAAATGAAGAGAAAAAAATGGAAGCATGAGCATTGTGGGAGGAGGACACAGAATGTGGGTATGGTCATTAATCCATCACAATGGGGCTGCAGGATAATGTTGGGGGGGGAAATAACATTATAATTATAGAAGATTTCAGTTTTCATTTTGTTCAGGGCTTGTCTACACTACTCACCGGATTGGTGGGCAGTGATGGATCGAACAGCAGTCGATTTATCACGACTAGTCTATTATAAACGCGATAAATCGACCGCTAAGCCCTCTCCCGTCAACTCTGGTACTCCACCAGGGTGAGATGCGCAGGCGGAGTCGACGGGAGAGCGTCAGCTGTTGACTTACCGCAGTGAAGTCACCGCGGTAAGTAGATCTAAGTACGTTGACTGTAGCTACGCTATTCGCATAGCTGAAATTGCGTATCTTAGCTCGACTCCGCGTGGTAGTGTAGACACGTCCTCAGGTAGTAACATTTCATTTTTCTGATACTTTTTATATGTAGTTTGTAAAAAATACACTTTGATATGGTAGAAAGTGTCACTGTCACTCATTTGGGATGACTTGCATAACTATCTTCTGACTTCACTTCTCTTGACTAATAAAGCCAGCCCAAGCTTTGCTAATAAACCCTCATTAATACACAATACATCTCCAAGCCATGCCACTTACCATTCAAAGCATCCCCCCCTCCAACTTGCCACCTCCCCACAATGGTACCTGGACCTCCCCACAACAACTAGGGAACATGTCTCCCTGAAGTTTTATCATATACATATGGCTCCACTTACCAAGAATCAAGGATGCAAAATTGTGTGAATTCAGGCATTGAGAGGAATATCCTTTAAATTCCTTTAGGTTTTGGAGGCAGGAACCTCTGCCATGAGTTGAGGTTTTTTTCTGTTTAGTTCTTTAGAGCAGGGTTTCTCAAACTTCATTGCACTGCAACCCCCTTTTGACAACAAAAGTTACTACATGACCCCAGGAGGGGGGACTGAAGCCTGAGCTCACTGGAGCCCTTCCCAAAGCCTGGGCCCCATCGCCCCATGCAAGTGGGCCAAAGTCAAAGCCCAAGGGCTTCAGCCTCAGGTGGGGGGCCTGTAACCTGAGCTCTGGCACCCAGAGCTGAAGCCCTCAGGCTTTGGCTTTGGCCCTGGGCGGTGTGGCTTGGGCTTCAATCCTGGGTCACAGCAAATCTAACGCCAGCCCTGGTGACTCCATTAAAATGGAGTCGTGACCCACTCTGGGGTCCTGACCCACAGTTAGAGAACCGCTGCTTTAGAGTCAACTTCTGCTCTGAATTACACCTTTTTGAACCCCATCAGCTTCACTGGGGTTGGATAAGAGAAACTTTGAACCTAGTTATTAAATCACCTCCCCTTAATTTCTTTCCTGAGCAAGGACATGCTTTGGGTCCCATCACAATTCATTCCAAAGGGTGAATACTGAGTTCCATATATATCAGCCCATTGTTCTCCCATGGTTGTAGCCAGAATCAGTGTCCTCTCAGCAGTGGAAACTCCATCACTTGAATATTAAAGGAGCACTAATGCTTTCCCTTGCCTATGCCCAGAGTTTTCAGAGAATGCAGCAACTTTGTTTCATGGGTTGCAAAAATGGTAGAGCAGCCTTGAAGACTACCAATACTTTTGGGCTAAGGACTGTTGTTTTTTTATAATCAGGCCATATATCCACAGCCTAAGGTTGTAAATTGTCACTCTGTCAGATGCAGAGAAACTTCATGGGTTCTGAGAGCTAAATCATCTGTTTGGATAGCCATAAAGTAAGTGATCATCCCCACTTGTACATCTTGTACATCATTATCAGTTTGAACTGACTTTTTATAATGATACTTCTTTTGTCCAGAAGGTTCTTCAAGAAGCACACTAAAGTAAACTCCTCTAACTCACTGTTCACTCTGGGCCACATCCAAAACCTGTGGAATTTCATGGGATTTTTTCCATTGACTTCAATGGGCAATGGATCAGGCCCCATCTCACTCTCTGTTCTCATTGGTTCTGTTTTTAAGATGTGAGAACTAAGATGTAGGACAAGTGAAAATTACATACTAGTCATTCTTTTCATCATTATCTTCTCTTTCCCCATCTACTATTCCTTCTTCCACACAGGAAGTGATACCTCTTGTGTGATACCTAATTTTCATAGGTGTGGCACATCAATAGCTCAAATTGGTATGTTTCAGGGTGCCGTGTTAGTCTGTATCCGCAAAAAGAAAAGGAGTACTTGTGGCACCTTAGAGACTAACAAATTTGTTTGAGTATAAGCTTTTGTGAGCTACAGCTCACTTCATCGGATACATTCAGTGGAAAATACAGTGGAGAGATTTATATACACAGAGAACATGAAACAATGGGTGTTACCATACACACTGTAAGGAGAGTGATCAGGTAAGGTGAGCTACTATCAGCAGGAGAGTGGGGGGGGGAAACTTTTGTAGTGATAATCAAGGTGGGCCATTTCCAGCAGTTGACAAGAACGTCTGAGGAACAGTGGGGGGGGGTAAACATGGAGAAATAGTTTTACTTTGTGTAATGACCCATCCAATCCCAGTCTTTATTCAAGCCTAAGTTAATTGTATCCAGTTTGCAAATTAATTCCAATTCAGCAGTCTCTCATTACAGTGTGTATGGTAACACCTATTGTTTCATGTTCTCTGTGTATATAAATCTCCCCACTGTATTTTCCACTGAATGCATCCGATGAAGTGAGCGGTAGCTCACAAAAGCCTATGCTCAAATAAATTTGTTAGTCTCTAAGGTGCCACAAGTACTCCTTTTCAAATTGGTATGTTACAGTTAAAGAAACTTCATTTCTTGCCTTTAATATCAGACCACTTTTATTTAGATGTCTAAAATAGATTTAAGACTCTAAAATTAGATGCCCATATGTGAAAATTTTACCCTATGGCCCTTGGGAGCAAAGTTGGAGTCTGAGTCAAAGAGACTCAGATTTAGAGAAGTGAGGCACCTTTATTAAGACTTTTTATGTACAATGTGTGTGTGACCTACATGTCAGAATAAAAAGTCCTACTCTTAGTCCTATCTCTCTGAATCCACCATGACTCTCTAACTCAGAAAATCTTGTCTTCCCACATCTCCCTCATCTGTAACTTTGGCTTATCACTGCTTCTGGAACATTGCTAGAACTTGTCCTTCATGATACCATGCATTCACTGTAATCTTTACCCATGCATCACTCAATTCCTTCCTTAGGAAATCTATGATTTTCCTAAACTGCTGTTTGCTAAACTTCAGACAGTTCAGCACTCTACAGCCAAACTAGTCTCATTCCAGGAAGTGAAAGCTTTATTATTACCCAATTCCTGGGTCATCTTAATTCTATTCCAACATATCTCCAAAACTAATTTTAAAATGCCCTTAATATTTTCAGATTTCCCTGTTAACTAATTTCACCCTACTTCTCAGACCTGCTCTCCTGTCTGTCCATTTTCCCCGCTTCACTCCTCAGCCTCTTTTCCTCTCCTTTCACTTTTACATAATGGGTAATCAGTTTAACTTGTTCAGCCTATTGGTGCATCTCTCCTTTCCACATGCCTGGTCTGTTCCAAACCACTGTTTGTGTGTGTGATTTCTTGTAATTTTGTCTAAATACCTTTCTTTAAAGGCACTCTGATGCCATAGTGAGGGCCACAGTATAGGAGCCTGTAGCAGGGTAAAAACCTTTTACATAACTTAGTCTCTATGAGGCATTATGCTATATTATGCATTAAATTGTCAGATATGAATATAGTGTGATTTATTGTATTTCTGCTGTTTGAGGAATGTCCTGTATTCATTTTTCTCATTGTTAATTAAAGGTGAAAAAGGTGATACAGCAGATACATTATTTTTCCATGCAGTCTACTCCCAATATATTCTAACTAGACTACATATCTTTGTTGATCAGACTATTTGAAATCAGGATAAAGTTAAAAGCTACAGGCTTTCAAAAGAAAAAAGGGGTGGGGCTTTTTGTTTGTTTGGGGGCTTTTTTCTGATTTCCTTTAGTATATGAGCTTGTTTGACCACAGTAAGTTCCAATAACTTGAAAGTACAATATATAATATTGGGTGACATTTGAAAAGAATGGGTTTATATCTGTACAGTTAATGTTTGATTTTTTTCCCTCTGATTATTTTCTATCATGACTTCATCAAAAGCTGATATTTTACTGAACTTTGCCTTGCCAGTGAAATACGGGCATGCACTTCCCTAAATCTGCGTTAAGTATGTATATGTTCCATATCGTCCTTATTCAGACTGGAAGAAACATCATTTAATCATGTGGGAGCTGAAGAAAGATATACCACAACCCCCACCATCATTCAAGTCAGGCCACTGTAGTGCCCTATAAAACATGCA